GACTACACTAAGATACATAATTCTGTGTATCGGTTTTTGATTTCGATGAATGGTGTTGAAGTGGTTACTAAAAATAGAAATTTCTGTGAAATTCTTTCAAAATGCTACTCCTCCTACAGTTTTGGTCTTATTTCAATATAACTTGGCACACAAGTAGACTACACTAAGGTACATAATTCTGTGTATCAGTTTTTCACTTCAATGAATGGTGTTGCCATGGTTACTAAAAATAGAAATTTCTGTTAAATACTCTCAAAATGCTACTCCAAATACAGTTTTAGTCTGATTAAAATATGATGTGGCATGCAAGTAGACTACACTAAGAACATAAAGAGACTTAATCAAGGATCATTTTTCTATTTATTGCTGTTGAAAAGTTTCAATTTCCAACTGCTTAAGTACTTTTCTCTTCCTTGGCTATAAGTACAAACCAGTAGAGCTTCAGTCTCGACAGAGACTTCTGGTTTTCATTTAGTTTGCAAGTGTGAGATTGTAACATTTTGTCTTTTTGTCATCGGTTTTCCTAGAGGGTACTATAACATAGTAATGTTTCACAAAAAAAGTAAACACTTAAAATATTTAATTAATGCATTTAGATGCATGATACGTGTACATGTACATTATAGAATATGAGATAAGAATTGATTTCGCTCGAGAACCAAAATTTATCTAATTCAAAATTTTAATACATCAGTACATAAAACGAAACTGACAAAATAAATGGTTGTTGCATGAAAAAAAAATCTTAGTAAGTAACGCCCAATGCCATGCTCAAACCAAAAACTTTCCGTTTCCAGTGCACTAAACAGGTAGCCCAACTCACTGAGCTATGACTGCTACACATTATACACAGATGATTTTAAAAGGACAAAGAAGCACAACATTCACACATTTTGATTTTTTGGGGAAAAGTTCATTTTTCGTGGTCTCTGGGTCTTCTCTCCATTTTTTAAAAAAGTGGATTCTAATTCAAAGAAACGTTTCAAAATCATGGAGAGAACACCCAGAGATAGAAAAAAATTAGAAAAAAGTGTTTTAAAATGTACCATTTTGTACCAATTGTCTGATCTGGCCAATTTTCAAGTTATTTTTTAGCAAATCAAAGCTAAATTTCGGGAAAAATATTTTCCTTTCTTGTTGCATAGGAACTCAATGAATAAAACAAATGTTAAAATTTCATGTGACGTGAAAATAAAATTTTCACTTTTCAATTACTCCCAGATTCCTGCCGAATGCCAATCAAAAGTGCCCTCGTTCTTTGAAAAAAATGAATAAAATTATTTCCTTTTAATTACAGGTTTTGAAGGTGCTTGGTCGCACAGGCTCACAAGGACAGTGTACACAGGTAAAACGTTTACCAGTAATTCACAAATTTTCTTATAAAATTATACTGCTTTCATATTCATGTGGAATTTAAATATAACATTTGACTTGGTTGGAATTGGTTTCAAATAAAACATATGTCTGCATTTGTCATGGACAATTTACTCAGGGCTCTTGATTCTCTAAATCTGGGGCCGATATTCGGCCCCGTTCCCAATGCAAAAAAGGTACCTTTTTTCCCAAAAGAAAGGTGTAAATTTCCCAATTTCCATAGCAAAATATTAATTAAAAAATAAAGTCCATGAAACTTAATCGCAAAAAAAAAAACAAAACAAAACACACTTGCAAATAAAAGTGAAACTGTACGACTATTTTATTATTTTGCGCCAAATGCATTCGTAAACTGGTTCGGGGAACCAGGTTATTGTTTTTACAAAAATGTGTACAAACTAAGAGTGCAGAGTATCTTGTCATGTAGTTTCGACAAAAAACATCATTGTGGTTTCAAAAATAGACATTTCATTTTAACATTAGTAAGCTGCACCTAGAAACATACCCACGCTTTGGCATGTTCAGTCTGGCGCTGTATTGGTAAGCAAAGTTGTCCATGTGATCGAGGAAATTCGGGACTATATGACTAGCAACTGTCACTCAGAAAGACAGATAACCGCAATATCAACACTCGAAGATAGTTATGACAAAGCTAATGTACTTTCATAAATAGCCTACGTACCCATGTTTGTTATGTTTAACTATTTATTGAAAACCAGAGTTAAATTGATGACAAAATGCTAGAAAAGCAAAATTTGAGGATTTTTTAAAATGAATTTTGGTTATCCAACTTCTCCCAAAATGACGATAATTTTCCCAATTTGAACGGCCCCGGCCCCAGTCCCAAAAAGTGGTGTGAGAGCCCTGTTACTAGACGTGCACAGAGGTAAAGCAAATTTCAAATACACTAATATTATCAATGTTTCAAAGTGTTTTGCGCATGGATGCAGTTTTATAGTTTTATTTTCTCTTTACATGGTGTTTGAGGAGGTCAGTTATGTTACTCGAAATAACTCTTCTTTGCTTGTTATAGGGGTAAGGGATCTTCACTCCTCCTATTATGGACTTGCTCATTGATCAGCCAAAATGAAATAAATTAAAATCACCCTCTCCTTGATAAAAGAATGTTTCAAGTTGTTAAAATGTCTACCGGGTAATTTAAAGACTGAAATGGTTTGAATATTGAAATGAACCCCATTCCAGGAATGTACCAGAGTATCAATTTGCATCAGGCGATTAGATTGGCCTCTTTTTCACATCTGTATCATTCATCACTTGGGCAATCTAGATTCAATTTTCAGGTTGCCCAGATGTAAAATTTGGAATGTTTAGATGACAAAATAATGCTTTAAGCCATGTATTATTTTCTTTAAAGTACTAATTAGCTTTTAATCATAGAATATGTATAAAGCTTTCAATTAGGGGTTTGTATGGCGTCTTGTTGGAACAAAACAGCCACTGAATGCAATGGAATAATGCCAGATGTATTGCTTAGGCCTAAAAAAAAATGTTTGTTTCCTGTAACCCGACCGACCCATTCAAATTATCCCCGGGTGGATTTTTTTTCTGACAAATGGCAAAACTTCGTTTGATCAATCAGCTGATTCCATTGATTAAATAAAAAAAAAATAGCTTGTAGCTTAATTTGAGACATAAAATATGTCATCTTAGTGTACATTTACCTTAAATATAAAGAGTAATCATTATTGTAACAACAGTTTCCCCCTACAACTTTCTGAAGTTCGTTTTCTGCCGCTAGACGGCCATTTTGGATGCCATGTTGGGTGTCCACTGTAAATATAACACCTGGTATTTTCAGTCCGGGTATGTTTGACCATTCATAAGCAAAAAAAAAAAAAAAAAAAAAAAAGAATTTCCGACCTACCGACCCTTGATTTTTTGGGAATGTTACAGGAAACAAACTTATTTTTTTTTTAAGCCTTACTTAAATTTGATCAACATATTTCAGGTGCGAGTAGAATTTTTGGATGACAGTAACCGTTCAATTATCCGTAATGTCAAGGGCCCAGTTCGTGAGGGGGACATTTTGACATTACTGGAATCTGAAAGAGAAGCTCGGCGACTGAGGTAGCCGTTTGGCCACATGTGGTATGTACATTTAACATGAATGTATCATAAACACAGAAACCTTATTACAATCTTTTGTCATTATTGGGAAAACTTACTTTTGATATCCGATTTAATGAGATACCATGCATTGAATTTGAGAGACAAATTGATTGATTAAATGATATTGAAAAGTGAGCATTCATTTTAGAATGTCAGTAATTTTGAGTATTGCACCCAAGGCCTTTATAAACATTGCTAAGAATGTATTATCTCCATCTTCATCTTTTTCATATATTTTGCTGATTATGGATTAGATTCAGATCCGACAGGGCAGTTAAAAGTTTTTGTTTTAGCAGTTTTTTATAGTTATTAAATTTTGAAACATTATTTTATTTACACAGGCCATTATTCTTGGAATGGCAGGGAAGCAGAGTTACCCATGACACCACAGTCTCCAAATCTTACTTTTTATGACGAGGATGAAGATGATGATGAATGATGATGATGAATTAGTGTGTGTGTTTTTGTGTGGAGACTTTTGCTGCACATAAGCCACACCTGGAGAATGTGGTGTCTTACCTGAGAGTGCAATTTACCATCACTGACGCTTAAAATGAACAACAGATTTAATTCTAAAACTCAACAACAACAACCGGCAACGACAACAACAGCAGCAACAAAGCAACAGCAACAACAACAGAAGACATGATCAGCTGATGGGGAGACTGACGACCACGGTCAATCATTCATGGTTTATGTTCACCGCTGTTTGTTCATCATGTCTAAGGGTTAAATCTATTGTTTAAAAATTTGAGTTATCTCTATTGCCTTTCATTTCAAGAATAAAAAAAAAAGAAAAGAATTTTAGTTTATATTGTCACATACTAGAAAAAGTATAATGTTGGTGATCACAAGTATGATGCTGTGAAATCATTAATTTTCGTTGAGGTTTAATTTTCATGGTTTTCAAGGTATGAAGAGACCCATGAATTTATGTCCACCACAAAATGCAATTTTTCACATATATTTCTACTGATCAATTCTTCAACCAGGAAATCAAATTCCCATGAAAACCAGGAAATCAAATCCCCATGAACCAATTTATTTTCCTCAAACCACGAAAATTTGACCCCTTAAAAATATGTGATTTTACAGTAGGGTCATTTCAAATTTTTTCTATGTTTAGCGTCAGCATGCGCTTTGGTTTTTTGACACCTATGTCAGAAAAAACAAACGGAATCAGGAATTTGAAAATTAATTATGAAGGTCAAAATTTGTGATTTCTGGCAATATCTCTAAATATTTGTATAATATTTCATTATAGTTTCAGTATTTAATACCTTGATTTTGCAGAAGAAAAAAACTTTCTTTATGAAAAATAGATAAATGAAATCATATCTTTTGAATTAGGTCATTCTTATTACTATGAAATATGTTTTATTTTTTTTTGACTTGTGTGTTTTTTGTGAAGAGGTAGCTAGGTTTTTGAAAGATGCGCTAAACAGAGAAAAAACTTGGAATGGCCTAGTTCCTCTAAAGAAAAGAAATGCCAACACTAACAAAACATTTACTTTATTAAACGTACAAATAGAAGTATTGAGATCAGTTTATTTGAAAAGGAAAAAAATTGCTTGTATTCCCAGTGAATGTAATCCTCAGTTCAATGTGAAGCTAGCTGATGTGTACCAAACAAACATAGTCACTGGCAGCATCCACTCTTATGAGCTTTGAATTTGGTGATTTCAACAGTTTCATTATACTGAGATTCAATTACAAGTGGAGTATTGAAAACATCCATGAGTCTTTCACCAATTCTTTGGAAGCTTTCTTCAATTCCAGAACCTAAAATTAGAAATGCCAGTATATAACGCTCATTTAAGTTGATAGTTAGCTGTTTGTTGAAACATGATAACAAGTTACATTCTGTGTAAGACAGACACTTCTGTGTACAGTAGTTTTAAACTTTTAAAGAATAGCTGAAGGTGAAAGTTTCCATCCAAGTTCTTTGGTTCACGCCCCTTAAACGCAGAAGTAAATGGGATGCTTGGCACCTGTGTTTAGAGGTCTTCATTTGCTCCAAAAACGTTTCAATGGAATTTTGACCTTGATAACTGTTTGTTACTTCATATATCACTATTAATAGGTCTACAGGCAAAATGTTTCTGAATTTAATTTTAAATGGATGATACATGAGAAAAATCTTCTAAGAACAGCAAAGGTCATATTTATATATACATGTATAAAGGTATGCTCAGGTAATGTAGAATTAAGTATGTTCAAATCATGACCCCCCGGAGTAGGATGGGGTCATACTTTTATGTTTAAACATTTCAATACCGAACCGATTTCTGCTAGTGCTCAGGTGAGTGATGAGGCCTTTTTTTCGATGAATTATATTGCCTTGTTTAATAATTTTTTTTCTAGCTTTCTTAAACCCCTACTCTCCTACAGTTTAAGCTCGAGTCCAAGACGCACAATTCTGGTTTTTTTGCTCAGTATAAAAAAATATTAACATTAAAAAAAAATCTATTTCATTTTGAAGAATGAAATGAAGTCTGTCAAAATTACCTGTTTTAGCGCTTATGAAGTAGGTATTTTCACAGTCAAAAGCTGCGGCGAAATTATCTACGTTTTCAACAGGAATTAATCTTTCCAAATCAGATTTATTTCCAATAAGAAACTTTAATGCTGAAAATAATACAAAAGTTATTAAAATTTCTAGTTTTGACGAACCATCAGTACAAAACTGAAAAATTACTCAAAACTTTGAGAAGAAAAAAATTACAAACATCGAAGGTTATATTCTTGGATTTAATTGGAAAAAGACAATGTATTTGATTCAATAATATTATTAATATATAATATTTTTATTTAATATTATTTGATGTCAATCAATATGTACTGTGTAAAAAAAAAACGATCAGAAACACACTTATATAAATTAAACGATCTTCATAAAAGAAAACAAATCGGTTTGTGTGCCAGTCAAAGACCTATTCAATTGAAATGAAAAAGTGAATACCAACAAAGCGAAAATGCGTGGAGATTTATTTTGAGTTCTTGCCTTTTGGTGCATGGTTTGTACAGTCCTCTGCCCACTGAGACAGGTAGTGGAGAGATGCCGGATCATCACAGCTGAAGACTAAGAACACAGCGTGCGTGTTTCGGTAGTAATTCCGGGTGATGGTTTTAAATCTTTCTGCTCCTGCTGTATCCCAGATACAAAACTAACAGAAAACTTGGTTAATGTATTTAATAAGATAAATAAGTTGTAAGTAGAACCCCATTTTAAAATAATCTTTCATATTTCCTTATTCGGTCACTAAGCCAACGTTCCGACGGTTTAAATGTGAATACAATCGATAAATCAAAAGCAGGAAATGTACTTACTGTTATATTTTGTCCGTCAATCTTGACAACCTTTGAACAACTCTCTATCCCTAAAGTTGGTTGAAGAAATTCCCCAAAGACATTTTCTTTAAGTCGTAAGAATATGGAGGATTTGCCAACACCGGCTTCTCCCAACAGAACCGCCTTAAACATCCTTCTTTCGAGTACCATCCATCCTCAGATCGGCATTTACAGTTTCTACTTTGTCGTGGTCCGAAAATTACACACTTGACCCACGTTATGACCTATCTATAAGTATTATAATAAGTCAATATCCCTTGTATAAAGCAATATAAGAAATAGTCATGTTATCTCCATTGGGGTACGACGAGGTACATCTGTTACTTCACTATTGTTTACTTAATATAAAATGAAAACAAGCTGGCTCAGGTGTCACAATTTGTTATAAATGTGCTTCATAAGGAAGCTTTTTTATTCATCAACATATTTATAAATCAATATGGTTATTTTAAAAAAATATGTGTACATGTTCAGGGGGCAAACCAAGGAGGCATGAATTCCTCCACGTTCGAAAATGAGCACAAACGAGCGTCTGTTATTCCCATTTGCCTCTATTGTACTGAATTCATTATCAACGTTTATCAGTGTACTATTTTTGGAAAATTATTAAATCTTATTTTAAAAATGCTGAGATTGCAACCAGCTTCTTGTTTGATTTGATTGCTTTCATTGTGAAGAAATGTAGTATGATATTTTTTTTCACGGAAAAGGTGTATCGAGTCGCGGAAATTTTGAAAGAAATAAAAGGGGGTCTACTTCCCCGCGAGAGAAATATTTGACATGAAGTTCATTCATATCAAATACTTTCCTCGATTAGATACACCTTTATAATGTTTATAATGTATAGTGGAGTATTTTTTTGTGGAGCGATTATTTTTGGGGGTATTACGATTTTTTCCTATTGTACACGTGATGAATACGTGTAGTTTGTGGGAAAAAAAATGTCCAACAAGCCCTGGGGTTGAATATCGGGGGGGGGGGGGGTCCTGTCCACAAGCACATGTGTTCTAGCATGTGCTTTGTATTGGGGGCCCCGGGGGTGTTACATGTAAATACGTTTTTTTTCATGTAAAGTAATGAAAGTAATAATGACCATGGCTATTTAAAAGCATCAAAACGAGATAGTAACAAGCTAATTCAGAGAATTTGTGTCCCCCGCTTAAGGGAAAAAGTAAACCATGGGTAGTTCGGGGTGGGGGGTGGGGTGGGGGGTGGGGGAGGGTCGGATCCTCTTGACTGACTTTGTAGAATTATTAAATGTAAATATGTACCTGTATACTGAAGCAAATTAATTATGCCAATTTGGATATAAAGGTTTGATTGCTTTTTCTTTATTATGTGTATAGAAGATTCTTTTTATATGGAATATTTATCACACTGCAATGATGATTTTATGAGTTTGTACAAGCCAGACCTCATAAATTTTTCATTTCACATGCTGAATACTATCATTTAGTAAAAAAAAAAGTATTTCGGAAAAAAAAAATAAAATGGTTCGTTTCGGGATGCGAACCCGGTTCCCCTCACATGAGAAGCAAGAGACATACCACTAGACCACCACGGAACTGCTTTACATAGAAATAAATTATATGCAAAGATGAAGTCACATAAAAGTATATATTCACGTTCAATATTGTCAAAATTTTACACAATGCATGGTGTCTAATTTAACCTTTATTAAACAGTTCTAATAGATGTAATTAGAATATAAAGTCCACCGAGAACCTGTTTTATACGTAATAACTCTCCTCATGCCCCTGTGCTAAAAATAGCGACATGTCATACAATGAATACTAATAAAACAAACGGGGCGGGACACTTTGAGAGGGGTTAGAGAGGTCCTAGGGAGTTTTTGGTATAAAATTATATTGCAAAAGCTGAAAATCTTCTTAAAATATGATAGTGTTTCATACAGAAAGAATGTATAAATTCACGACCTTGAACTTTGACCTTTTGACTTCAAAATCAATAGGGGTCTTCCTTAGGCCACAGGGAGTTGTTATGTAAAATTTCATTGCAAAAGCTCAAGGGGTTCTCGAGATATCGCGCGAAAACGAAAGTGTTATAACAGACAGAATTTGCGAATTTAAGACCTTGACCTTTGATCTTTTGACCTCAAAATCAAAATTTAGTAAATCGTTAAATCTATGTTTTGTTTTCTTATTTTTTTTTTGTCCCCCGCTTGAAAAGTGGGGGATATTAATTTGGGTTTGTCCGTCCGTCCGTCCGTCTTTCTGTCTGTCTGTAACGCTTTCGTTTCCACACGATATCTCGAGAACCCTTTGAGCTTTTGCAATGAATTTTAGCATAGCAACTCCCCATGGACTAAAGAGGAACTCTATTGATTTTGAGGTCAAAAGGTCAAAGGTCAAGGTCATAAATAAGCAAATTCTGTCTGTTGTAACACTTTCGTTTCCACATTATATCTCTAGAACCCCTTGAGCTGGTGCAATGAAATTTTACATAGCAACTCCCTGTGGCCTAATGAAGACCCCTTTTGATTTTGAGGTCAAAAGGTCAAAGTTCAACGTCGTATTTATACATTCTGTCTGTGTGTAACACTATCATTTCCGGGCGATATTTCAAAAAGATTTTGAGCTTATGCAATGTAATTTATACCAAAACTCCTAGGACCTCTCTCACCCCTCTCAAAGTGCCCCGCCCCGTTTGTTTTATTAGTATTCATAGTATTACATGTCGCTATTTTTAGCACAGGGGCATGAGGAGAGTTATTGTCCCCCGCTTGAAAAGTGGGGGATATTAATTTGGGTTTGTCCGTCCGTCCGTCCGTCTTTCTGTCTGTCTGTAACGCTTTCGTTTCCACACGATATCTCGAGAACCCTTTGAGCTTTTGCAATGAATTTTAGCATAGCAACTCCCCATGGACTAAAGAGGAACTCTATTGATTTTGAGGTCAAAAGGTCAAAGGTCAAGGTCATAAATAAGCAAATTCTGTCTGTTGTAACACTTTCGTTTCCACATTATATCTCTAGAACCCCTTGAGCTGGTGCAATGAAATTTTACATAGCAACTCCCTGTGGCCTAATGAAGACCCCTTTTGATTTTGAGGTCAAAAGGTCAAAGTTCAACGTCGTATTTATACATTCTGTCTGTGTGTAACACTATCATTTCCGGGCGATATTTCAAAAAGATTTTGAGCTTATGCAATGTAATTTATACCAAAACTCCTAGGACCTCTCTCACCCCTCTCAAAGTGCCCCGCCCCGTTTTTTTATTAGTATTCATAGTATTACCTGTCGCTATTTTTAGCACAGGGGCATGAGGAGAGTTATTGTCCCCCGCTTGAAAAGTGGGGGATATTAATTTGGGTTTGTCCGTCCGTCCGTCCGTCTTTCTGTCTGTCTGTAACGCTTTCGTTTCCACACGATATCTCGAGAACCCTTTGAGCTTTTGCAATGAATTTTAGCATAGCAACTCCCCATGGACTAAAGAGGAACTCTATTGATTTTGAGGTCAAAAGGTCAAAGGTCAAGGTCATAAATAAGCAAATTCTGTCTGTTGTAACACTTTCGTTTCCACATTATATCTCTAGAACCCCTTGAGCTGGTGCAATGAAATTTTACATAGCAACTCCCTGTGGCCTAATGAAGACCTCTTTTGATTTTGAGGTCAAAAGGTCAAAGTTCAACGTCGTATTTATACATTCTGTCTGTGTGTAACACTATCATTTCCGGGCGATATTTCAAAAAGATTTTGAGCTTATGCAATGTAATTTATACCAAAACTCCTAGGACCTCTCTCACCCCTCTCAAAGTGCCCCGCCCCGTTTGTTTTATTAGTATTCATAGTATTACATGTCGCTATTTTTAGCACAGGGGCATGAGGAGAGTTATTGTCCCCCGCTTGAAAAGTGGGGGATATTAATTTGGGTTTGTCCGTCCGTCCGTCCGTCTTTCTGTCTGTCTGTAACGCTTTCGTTTCCACACGATATCTCGAGAACCCTTTGAGCTTTTGCAATGAAATCTTGCATAGCAACTCCCTATGGACTATAGAAGGCTTCTATTGATTTTGAGGTCAAAAGGTCAAAGGTCAAGGTCGTAAATTTATACATTCTGTCTGTGTATAACACTATCATTTCCGGGCGATATTTCAAGAAGATTTTGAGCTTATGCAATGTAATTTTATACCAAAACTCCCTAGGACGTCTCTCGCCGCTCTCAAAGTGCCCCGCCCCGTTTGTTTTATTAGTAATATTTTGAGAATACCGAACATGAAAACATGAATGACTTCAGTTCTGCATATACTTCACACCATGTACATGTAAAGTGTTTCCGTGGTCTAGTGGTTATGTCTCTCGCTTCAAACGTGAGAGGTCCCGGCATCGAATCTCGATCGACCTTTTTTTTTTTTGAAATACTTTTTTTTTTTACTAAATGATAGTATTCAGCATGTGAAATGAAAAATTTATGAGGTTATAAAATCATCATTACAGTGTGATAAATATTCCACATAAAAAAATCTTCTATACACATAATAAAGAATAAGCAATCAAATCTTTATATGCATATTGACATACAGGTATCTTATTTGCTTCAGTATACATGTATACATTTAATAATTCTACAAATTCAGTCAGGGGGAGCCGACTTTTTCCCTAAGCGGGGGACACGAATTCTCTGAATTTAATTTAGCTTGTTGCGTATAAAACAGGTTCTCGGCGGACATTTTGTTCTTATTACATCTATTAGAACTGTTTAATAAAGGCTAAATAAATCAAACACCATGGATTGTGTAAAATGTTGACAATACCGAACATGAATATCTACATGTATGTGACTTCACTTCTGCATATACTTAATGCCATGTAAAGCGATTCCGTGGTCTAGTGGTATGTTTCTCGCTTCGCATGTGAGAGGTCCTGAGTTCAGGTACCGGATGGACCACTTTTTTTTTTAAGAAATACTTTTTTTTTACTAAATGATGGGCCATATGTCAAACTATGTGGGCAAAAAATGTGTGGTTTCCTTCACATCATATATAAAGAGAGATTTTGTATCCTAGAACAAAATCTCAAAGTTTCAGAAAAATTGAATTTGAGGAAAAATCTTGGCCTATTTATTGTGTCCTACTATGATTGGGAGTATAGGCCATGCTTTTAATCTTGAAATATTATATAATTATGACTTGGTATTCCGCACTCAAAATAAGCATGCAAGCAATTATAGATTGATATACCCTATACATGTATATTAAAGTATATTCATGAATATTTTACCGTCTACAATGTATGTTTATACCGGTATATTATTTTGAATAAACATAACTGTTACATATAAATGTAATTCATGACTGTAATTTTAAAAAGTTTATTAAAATACCCACGCACAAGATTTTCTGTTGAAATTTACAATATACATGT